TGGGTGGGAGCTGCGTGGCCAGAGTAGCGAAAATGAGGGGTGCGGGCCCCACCTCTACATAGGTCGAGTTGTTGCACGCCTCTGCGAAGATGCCTGGTGATGCAGGGGGTGCCAGGTCCCCGTCCTCTGGGCCAGCTGTGCCCCCGTGGGACTCCAGCAGAGTCTGCAGGTACTGGGCTAGGTGGAAACAGAGTCTCTGGACCAGGACGTGGCTTTCCAGGTCCCTTGGGTTTGATGGAGGCTCATGAAGTGTCCTCCTCTCCCAAATCCCATAGGTACCCCAGGTTCCCCAAGTCTCTGTGTCTAGATCCTTCAGACTGGGGCTCACACGTTGTCAGAATGCACAGAAACCATACAGACTTCCACTGGACCCCCACCCCACCCCTCCCCCAATTTAATGAACTCCTGAACAGCCTTCAAGGCCCCAGCTTCAATGCCCAGAGCTCCCTCTGCCCTCACCCTGCTGGCGGATAGTGAGACCTCTGGGGAGGTTCCCCATCACTGGCCCAGCAGGGCAGCTTCACTGTTAATGAAAACACGGTCCCCACAAATACAGCTTCTTCATCTGAGGCCCAGGAGTCACAGCCACCCACCCCCTCCCCTTCACTGTTCTCCAGGTCCCCCCAGCCCCCCACCCTCTCCCGGCTCACTGTTCTCCAGGATCCCCCCTCCCCTGCTCACTGTTCTCCAGGCGCCGGAGGCTCTTCCGCCCCTTGGCCTTGGGCACCAGGTCTGAGTTCCGCACGGCCTGGTTGATGAAATGCTGCTTCCGCTTGGAGGCTGAGAAGCGCTTCACATGGGAGCCCGCCAGAGCAGGCAGGCAGCCTGACAGGGGCCTGCGGGCCAGGGGGAGCAGGTCAGGGCCAAGATCGGTCAGGACCCCCAGCCAGAACCCCACCATGGCTACAGCCTGCGTGGTTGCCCCAAGTCCAAGATCCCCCTCAGCCAGATGCTAATTCCAGAGCCTAGACATCTGTTTTCTCTCATGCTAACATCATTTGAGAGATGGCAGATGAATAAACCAAGGCAGAGAGGGGACGACCCCTGCAGCCACCCAGCTGCCCTCTAGCTGACAGGCACCCCACCTCCACCCCCAGTCTTGTGGATTTGAGATAAGACGGGCTGAAGTGCAGAGCCCAGGCAAGCCCCAAACCCGGCCTTTTCTCAGCTCATCGCTGCCGCGTGCCATCGAGTCAGAACCCACTCCTGGCTGACCCTCCAGCGGGTTTCGGAGGCTGTAAATTGCACAGGAGGACAGTGCCCATCCTTCTCCCACAAAGCAGCTGGTGGATTCGAACTGTGTGCCTTTGAGTTGGCAGCACAGATCCTTGTCCACTCAGCCACCCTGATTTTCTTCTGCTTCTTCCCTCTCCCTGCTCCCCACCGCCTCTGGCAGCAAATAAACAAGGAAAGAGCAGCTCGCCACCCTGGAGTCCACCTGCTGTCCCCACCTCCCAAGTCGGGAGGAGGCCTGGGGGAGGCTGAGGTAGAGCAGACCCTCCCCAGGACCTGTCGGGATGGGTTAGCAGGCAAAGTGGACCCGGGGGACCCAGAGTTGGCCACTCGCAAAATGGGTGGAGAACCACAGAAGTCCTTGATGGACCCTTCGCAGCGCTCGACATCCCCTGGACCGGGGGCTGTAGAGGACAGGCCCCACCAGCTTCAAGGACTCTCCTGTATCAAGCCCCATGGTGGAGTGTGACCCCCTAAAAGGTCAGTTTCCCATATTCACCCCACTCCATCGCCTAACACCCTGCTTGCTCTTCGAGAGTCGAGGGGCCCCCCTCAATTAGGTAGGCTTCCTCCAAATGTAAGCTGGTGGCCATCAAATCAGCAGCTCTCCTCCCAGGCATGAACTAGGACCTGAGGGCAGGTCCACACAGAAGCCTGGACACCAGCGCTCACGCAGCCCTGTCCACAGGAGCCTCAGAAGAGGAGGGACGAACACGGTGTGGGCCACCCACACTGCCTGCAAGGCTTGGGTAGACCAGACACAGAGTTCATGCCCACAGAGGTCACCTCCTAATCGAGTTCCTGATGACAACGGTGTCCCTAAGTAGGGAAAGTCTCAGACATGCATACAAAATCCCAACACCTCACCAACAAAGAGACAATCTAATTCAGACACGCAGAGGACACACCGCCAAAGACGACATCCAGCGCCTTGGCAGCGGTCGGCATCTCAGCAGCGGTCAGCAGTCAGTACCTCCGCAGTGGTCAGTGGTCAGTGCCTTGGCAGTGAGCACCTCAGAGGCAGTCAGCGGTCAGCGCATTGGCAGCGGTCAGCATCTCAGCAGTGCTCAGTGCCTTGGCAGTCAGCACCTCAGCACCTCGGTGGCGGTCAGTGGTCAGCACCTCGGCGGTGGTCAGCGCCTCAGTGGTCTGCCATCCTGTCCCTCACAGAGCCCTGCTGTTGAACTTAGAGGCTGTAAACAGTAATGAACGTGCCTGCCCATCCTTCCCCTCGGAGCAGCAGGTGGCCTCGAACTGCCTGGCCGAGAGAACCCTGGGTGGGCAGTGCAGACCCCAATGGGCTAGGCCACCAGTGCCCCTCATCAGCTGTTACGTGCTGTCCCCCAGAACTCAGAGCTGCCCTACGAGCAGTTTCCGAGGCTCCGTATCACACGCACAGCGTCCTTCTGTAAAGCAGCTGGGACCGGCCCTGCCGAGAGGAGGCTGCGACTCCTTATCCACGAGGGCCCCAGGGCTCCAGCGTTACTGCTGTTACGTGCTGTCTAGCAGAGTGTGACTGAGCCATGCCCCATCTGGTGCCATCTTCATCATTTCAGATACGCTTGAGCCCGCTGCCACACTCACTGTGTCAATCGCTCATGTTGAAGGTCTTCCTCTATTTCCTGGACCCTCCACGTTCCCAGCATACTGTCCCTCTCCAAGGTGGTCTCTCTTAGCGACATGCCCAAAGTATGCGAGGTGAAGCTTCACCATCCCTGCCTCCGAGGAGCAGACTGCACCATTTTTTTCTTTTCATTTTTTTCTTTATTTCTTTTTCTTTTCGTGTACCATCGAATCAGATTCAACTGACACAGGAGGAGACTGCCCCTCCTTCTCCATCAGAGCATCTGGTGGATTTGAACCACATACCTTTGGGATTGCAGTACAGCTTCTTTGCCACTAGGCCTCCAGAGCTCCCAGGCTGAACTTCCTTAAACACATAGCTATTCGTTCTCTTGGCCACCACGGGATGGTCAGTGCTCTTCTCCAACACCGCAGCTCAAGGGCATCAATTCTTCTGTCATCTTTATTCACTGTCCAGCTCTCAGATGCATAGCAAGTGATTGGAAAGACCTTGGCCTGAATCAGACGTACCTCAGTCCTCAAACTGACATCACTGCTCCTCAATAATCTGACTGTAGACCTTCCAGCGTGCTCCGTCTCCTGACCTCCTGACTGCTGGTACCGAGGAAACTGACTGTGGATCCAAGAAAGATGAGATCCTTGACAATTTCAGTCCTTTCTCCATCATCAATGATGCTGCCTGGGGGCCCAGTGGTGAGGATTCCTTTTTTCTTGATGTTGATATGAAATCCAAATTGACTACTGTCTTTTACTAAATGTTTTAAATAATTTCGATAAGCAAGGTTATGTCGTTTGCATAGTGCAGATTACTGATGAGTCTTCCTCTGATCCTGATGCCACATTCTCCTCCAGAGAGTCCAGCGTTTCCAATGATGTGTGCTCAGCATACAAAATGAATAGGTACAGAGAGAGGATACAACACGAAGGCACAGCGCTCTTCATTTTAAACCATGCACTCCTCCCTTGCTCTGTTTGGACACCAGATTCTTGATGTAGGTATAGATTTCATAAGGGCATAATTAAGTGTTCTGGGATTCCCACTCTTCTCAGTGTTAGCCATGAAGTATTATGACCCACACAGTCAACGCCCTGGCATTAACAATAAATATACAAATAACCATTCTGGTATTCTTTGCTTTTTAGCCAGGACCCCGTCTGACATCAGCAATGATATCCCTGTTACGCGGCCTCTTCTGAATCCCGTCTGAACTTCTGGCAGTTCCCTATCTATGTCCCGTTCTAGCCGTTTTTCAATGTTCTTCAGCAGTAGTTTGCTTGCAAGTAATGTTAACACGTTGCCACAAATGACAGCAAATGTGTTTCTAACCGTGGTCATCAGTTTAAAAAGTGTGCGGCAACATGTTAATGATACTGTTTGATAATTTCCACACTCTGTTGCATCATTTTTCTTAGGGATGGGAATATGGGTCTCTTCCAGTCAGCTGTCCTCCAGATTCCCTAACACTGATGTTGAGTTTGTCAAGGGCTGCATCTAACATGTCAACTCCTGGGGCCTAAGACACGGAGAACCAGAGGTGCCCGGCTACCACTGCCCACTGCTCAGGAAGGGACCACAGCGGAGGGTCCCGGACAGGGTGGAGATAAACGCCAAACAAAGCTCAAAATCATAAACACAGTCAGGCTGACAGCCTGATAAAGAATCAGCCAGGGGCGATGGTCCTTAGCTGACCTGTAAGCCTGGAGCTGAGCTCTCTCCTGATTGTAAGTTAAACCACACACAGACCTCTAAGGCAAACACCAGGGAAGAACACGCTGCTAGAACATTCACTGCACAAGATCAGAACGGCAGCCCTTGAAAGGGAGAGGGCAGATGGACAAAAGGAAGCAGGAACCACAGGGAGGGAGCAGGAGGTGTGCTGTTACAACACGGGAGCTGTAGTCAATGTCGCAAACAAGATGTAAGTGAATGGTTCAGGATGCTGTGGACAGAAGGCTGAATGACCCAGGGAGCACTGAGAGAATGTGGAAGAAGTACACTGAGTCACTGTGCCAAAAAGAATTGGCTGACACAGAAAAATTTTATGAAACAACATGTGATCGAGAGGCAGTGGTGATGAAGGAGGAAGTGCAGGCTGCTCTGAAGGACTTGACAAAAAAAAATAAGGCCCCAGGAACTGATGGAATACCAATTGATGAATTTGAACAAACAGATGCTGCCCTGGACGTGCTCACCAGGTTGTGTCAAGATATCTGAAGGACAACTACCTAGCCAACTGACTGGAAGAGATCTATATTTATTCATATTTCAAAAAAAAAGGTGACCCGACAGAGTGTGAAAACAATATCACTAATAACACATACAACCAAAATCCTGCAGAAGATTATCCAAACACAACTGGAACAGCACATCGATGGAGAACTACTAGAAATACAAGCTGGGTTTAATAGAGGTCATGGCAATACAGATACTGTCACCAATGGCAGATGGATCTTCCCAGAAAGCAAAGAGGACCAGAGGAATGTCTGTCTGTGCTTCCTTGACTCTGCAAAGGTATTTATTTACCTGTGTGGGTCACAACAAACTGTGGCTGACTGAGAAAAAAGGCAATTCCAGAACACTTGATTGTGCTCGTGCAAAACATATCCTCAGAGCAGGCAGCAGTCCTAAGAATAGAGCAAGGAAACACTGCATGGTTCAAAATCAGGAAAGGAGTGTGTCAGGGATGCATCCTGTCTCCACACCTTTTCAATATGTACGCAGAACAGATCATTTGGGAGCCTGGGTTTTAGGAGGAGGAGTGTGGCATCAGGATTGGAAGAAGACGCATCAAAAACCTGCAAAATGCAGATGACACAGCCTTGCTTGCTGAACATACCATGGACCTTCCAGACAAGTATGCATGCCTTGGAGACAAGTTTCTCCTTGGAGGCTAGAATCTTGAACCTCCAACTCACACACTTGTGGCTAGGAGGGACCAGTCCTTGGAGAAGGACATCATGCTTGGAAGGGTGGAGGGACAGCGCAGGAGAGGAAGACCCCGGATGAGATAGATTGACACAGTGACTGGGACAATGAGGGTAGGTGTGTTGGAATTAGTGAGACTGGCTCAGCACAGGGCAGGGTTCAGAGCGGCTCTGTTGCAAAGGGTCACAGGTGATTTGACAGCCCATAACAACAACATATGAATGATTGAATAGAAAACCAATCTGCAAACTTTCACCTTAACTATGACCACAATCAAAAAGAAATTTAAAAAGGGCTGTGACAACAGAAGAGAGATGGAGACAGGTGAGGTGCACCTGTGGGTGAGCCATAAACTACCCGCAGCACCGGCACATGTGGGGTACTGTGCAGAGTGAAAGGTCAGCAAAGATCAGGGGGACGCTGTGACACGAGTGGACCTGGAGGGCATTATGCTCAGTGAAATAAATCAGTCACAAAAGGACAAATACTGTATGAGAGCTGAGGAACCACCAACATAGGGAGAGGGAAGGACAGGCAGCGGGGCAGGGGTGAGACACAGGGGTCAGGGGGGACAACACAGGAGCCAGGGAGTGACAGGGCCGGAGAAGGGACACAGGGGCCGGGGGGGCACAGGGGCTGAGAAGACACGGGCTGGGGGAGACACAGGGGCCAGGGAGGGCCAGGGGCCAGGGAGGGGACACAGGGGCCGGGGGCACAAGGGCCGGAGAGGGGACACAGGGGTCAGGGAGGGCACAGGGCCAGGGGGGCACAGGGGGCGGGGGGGACGACACAGGAGCCAGAGAGTGACAGGGGCTGGGGGGCACAGGGGCCGGGGGGACACAGGTGTTAAGGTGAGTGGAGGCCAACTATACACAGGAAGGGTTGGTCAGCGGGGGGTCACTAAGGAAAAGGGGACAGAGTCCTGGCATCAGATCTTGCTCCTCACAGAGAGGCTATAAGCCTCATGGGCCACAGGGCCCGGCGGTGCCAAGAGCTGAAATGTACGTGCCAGGCTCAACACACAGGTGTTCCTGTCAACATGGACAAGCACGTGGGGGCATGGGCTGGCCTCCGACTGGACCAGGCTTGAGGAACTCACAGTCCCAAACCAACGCCTCCCTCCGCGGCAGTGGGGAGGTGAGCCCTGACATCTGAGCCCCAGGTTCAAATCCTGCCTAGGACACCCACCCACTGTGTCCCTGCAATTGTCAGGAGCCGCCAGGTCAGACGCCTTCCTTCAGCTAGCCGTCTGTAAAAGGGGCCAGCCGCAGGGCTGCAGTGGGCCCGGCTCCATCCACCTGGCTCGGCTGTCACCTGCCTGGTCTCCCCTCGTGACAGGAGGCCACCCCAGCACCACAGCTCTCGCTCTTGAACAGAGCTGCATCTCTTTCACCGTCACCCAGAAAACTATTTTTAAAGCCATTTTTACAGATTTACAAACCAAGGCACAAAGAGTGGTCACTGTCGAGTAGTGGCAGGACAGGGCAGCCGAGGTGGACAGAGCGAGCCAAGGCCTCGGGCCACCACATGGCATCTGACAAGCACTCAGTGGGCCCCAGGGCTTTCACGGGGATGCGGGGGGCTCTCCGAGGTTACACCCTAACAGAGGCATCGTTCAGCTTTCATGGGGATGCGGGGGGCTCTCCGAGGTTACACCCTAACAGAGGCATCGTTCAGCTTTCATGGGGATGCGGGGGGCTCTCCGAGGTTACACCCTAACAGAGGCATCGTTCAGCTTTCACGGGGATGCGGGGGGCTCTCCAAGGTTACACCCTAACAGAGGCATCGTTCAGCTTTCACGGGGATGCGGGGGCTCTCCGAGGTTACACCCTAACAGAGGCATCGTTCAGCTCCTCCCGCAGCTGCCAGAGCTGCACCTCCGCCCGACTGCCGAGGGCTGGCCTGGCAGGGCTGATAACAGAGTTGCGTCCCGTCAAAGGGTACAGCTGGCGTCAGTATGGGCAGGACATGGAACAGGGTGGGACTGACGCCCCAGACACACACAGGACACGAGGGGGTCATTTTACAGATGAGTCTCCCTCTCATGATACTGGCAAGAGGCAGGATTTGAACCCAGGTCTGGGCATGCATCTAGTGAGCCCAGGACAGGGTCCACTCTCGGACCTGGCCAGCCCTCTTCCCTCCCACACACCCCCTGGCTCTCCGGCAGGCCGAGGCCCAACTCCTTCACAGCCAGTGCTGCTCCTGTGCTCAGGCCACTAGGATCGGGGGCTCACCCACCCCCCTCGTGAGCTCTGAGCCCCACCATCAGTCGAGCTTTGTTCTAGAGGAGTTAAGAGTCTGGCCACAGTGCCGGTGGGGGTGGGAGCCCTGAACTCACTGCCCCCACCCAGGAAGACCCAGGAAGGAAGGATGGGGAGAAAAGCACAAAGTCATGAACATTCAGCAAATCAGGCTGTGACCAAGCTAATTCAACAGAGTAAACAAGGTGTTTACTCATCAAAACACCCAGTCCAACCCCGGGTCCACCTCCCTCCAGCCCAGCCTCAGAGACCTCCCCTCTGGGCTCCAAACATCGCAGAACAGGCCGACCTTAAACTCCTCACAGAGGATGACTCCTCACCTCCCCAGCACGGACCTCCCCCTCAGACTCCCCGCACAGGCCACCCCCTCAACTCCCCAGCACAGACCTCCCTTCAGACTCCCCAGAGCAGGCCTCCCCCGGGCCTCTGTACATGATGAAAACTCTCTCTCTTGTCCGAAGGAAGCTGGTCTGCTCCAAACTCTGCACCCGAGAGCCCACGGGCTGAGTCGCCTGGCACAGCCAGCCCCTCCCCTTACTTGTGCCTTCACTGCCCCACGCACGCGGAGCCTCATCGGTCAACACAGGGCGGGGGCAGCTGACTGGACGCTCATCACAGGGCTCCGACACAAGGAACTCGTCTGCATGTCTCACTGACTGCTGCTTCCCTGCGTTCAGGCTCCATACTGACCGTAGAGGGACAGAGCCCTCCAGGCCCAGGTGTCCTGGGCACAGGCCTGGGACAAAGCTGCCCTCAGACATGCCTGTGAGGACACAGGAAAGACTAACAGAAGTGGACGCTGAATCAAGGACCCACGCAAGGCTGAGGCCGGCCCGGCCAGGGGCAGCCAGGGGCCCGGGACCTTTGCTGGCCCAGCCAGGTGTGGGTGATGGAGCACCACTCGGGGGGCTTGGAGCCCAGGCCTTCTACAGTCCCTGCACTTTTTGTCAAGTCCTATGATAGTAAACTCGTGAGAAAGACCAACGTCTACAGCCTTCAATAGGGATCACATTTCAACATCAAGAAAACAAACATCCTCACGACAGGGCCAAAAGGCAACATGTCGATGGAGAAAAGATTCAAGTTGTCAACAATTTTATTTCACTTGGATGAAATAATCGATACTCATGGTCACACAGTGAGGAATCAGAAGACACACTGCATTGTGGGAATTTATTGACAAACACCTCTCAACGTTCCAAAGAGCAAGGATGCCAGTTTAAAGACTAAGGGGCACCTGATCCAAGCCGTGGTCTCTTCAACTGTTTCCCATGCAAAGCTGGACAATGAGTAAAGGCTAAGAGAAGAACCAACATCTTTGAGCTGTGCTGTTGTTGGAGAAGAGTCCTGACTACCCCACCGACTGTCAAAGGAATAAAGGCATCTGTCCTGATGGAAGTCGAACCAAGCGTGCTCCTCAGAGGCAAGAACAACGGAAGTTTGTCTCACGTTACGCATATTCTCAGGAGGAACCAGGCCCTGGAGAGAGACATTGTGCTGGGAACAGCAGAGGGTCAGCAAGAGAGAGGAAGCCCCTCAACAACGTCACTAATACAGTGGTGACCACACCGTGTGTGAACACGACAGAGACTGGACACGACAAGGATAACAAGGACAGCACAGGACAGACAAGGTGACAAGGATGGAGATGGGGCAAGGTGACCAGGACAGGACAGAGCAAGGTGACCAGGACAGGGCAAGGTGACAAGGATGGAGATGGGGCA